GGGCAAGACTAATGAGGTAGCAGATGCTTTAAGCACGAAACCCCTAGCATCAGTGACTCATCTAATGATTCGAGAGATGAAGTTATTGAAAGAAATTGTGGATTGGCATCCAACTCCGCCCCTTAATGGGGTGGTATGGATGGTAGCTAGCATAAAGGTGGAACCCCAACTAATTTAACAGGTTTGATTGGCACAAAAGAGGGACTCTCAGCTCATGAAAATTGTAGAAGAGATAAAACTAGGAAAAAGAGACAAATTCTCTATAAGCAGTGATGACTTTTTGAGATTCAAAGGTCGGATTTGCGTCCCAAACGATGATAGCGTAAAGAAAGCGATTTTGGAAGAAGCACATCACTCCCGATATACTATACATCCCGGAAGTACTAAGATGTATCAAGACCTGAAGAAAACCTTTTGGTGGAATGATATGAAGAAGGAGGTGGCACTATTTGTATCTAAGTGCTTAACCTGCCAGCAAGTAAAAATTGAGCATCAGAAGCCCACCGGGTTATTGCAGCCCTTACCCGTGCCAGAATGAAAATGGGAGCATATTTCTATGGATTTTGTTTCTGGCTTGCCTAGAACAAGCTCACGACATGACAGTATTTGGGTCATTGTGGATCGACTGACCAAAGCTACTCACTTCTTGCCGATTCGTACGACCTATACTTTGGACCAACTGGCTCAGTTGTACATCAAGGAAATAGTGAGGTTACATGGAGTTCCGGTCAGTATTGTGTCCGACATGGACACTAAATTTACTGCAAGATTCTGTGCTAGTCTACAATCAGCTTTGAGAACAAAACTCACCTTTAGTACTGCCTTTCACCCTCAAACTGATGGGCAATCAGAGATAACTATCCAAACCTTGGAAGATATGCCAAAGGCCTATGTCACTGACTTTACAAAAAGTTGGGAGGACCATTTACCCCTGATTGAATTTGCCTATAATAATAGTTTCCAAGCTAGTATTTAGATTGCGCCATACGAAGCCCTATATAGAAGGAAATGCAGGTCACCCATTTGTTAGGACGAGGTTGGCGAAAGAAGACTTTTCGGGCCAGAAATCGTCCAAATAACTTCAGAAAAGATAGCATTGATCCTAGAAAGGCTCAAGACAGCCCAGAGTCGGCAGAAGAGTTACGCCGATAACCGAAGGAGGGACCTTGAGTTTGTTGTGAGTGATCGGGTCATTCTAAAGGTGTCACCAAAAAAGGGCATCATGAGGTTCGGCAAGAAAAGGGAGCTGAGCCCGTGCTATATCGGACCCTTTGAGGTCCTGGAGAGGATCGGAAGCGTGGCATACAGACTTTCCTTGCCGCCCGAGCTGGCTAACATCCATAATGTCTTCCATGTATCTTTATTACGAAAGTATCAGCCCGACCCTTCCCATGTTTTAAAATATGAGCCTACACCGATCAGAGAGAACCTGACCTTCATTGAGCTACCAATTCAAATACTATATAGGAGGGTGCGGGTGTTACATAGAAAGGAGATTCCTCTAGTCCGTGTGTTGTGGCAGTACCATTGAAGGAAGGAATCAACCTGGGAACGGGAAGATGAGATCCGGGAAAAATACCCCCATCCTTGTCAGCAATCAGGTACGCAAATTTAAAGGACCAAATTTCTTTAAGGAGGGAGAATGTGATAACCTAAAACATATATATATATATATATATGTACATTTAATATATATATATAATAATTAAGTAAATAAATAAAAAAATTTATACAAGAATGACTTTAAATGATGGCCCATTGTGTTATGACACATTATGGGAATATCATTATTGTAGCACCAAAAGATTTATAAAGTAAAGAACCAGTACAGGGTGTCTCGAGATTGCACAAGGTGGCAATCGCCAGTACGAGGTGTCTCGACATTGCACGAGGTGGCAATCATTAGTACGAGGTGTCTCGAGATTGCACGAGGTGGCGATCGCCAATATGAGGTCTCTCGAGATTGCACCAGGTGGAAATCGCCAGTATGAGGTGTCTCGAGATGGCACGAGGTGGCAATCATCAGTATGAGGTGTCTCGAGCTGCCACGAGGTGGCAATCGCCAGTATGAGGTGTCTACGAGGTGGCAATCACCAGTTTGTGGTGTCTCAAGATGCCACGAGGTGGCAATCGCCAGTATGAGGTGGCCCTTAAAAATGACACATGGATGCCATGTGTCGAGTCTAGGTTGAGCCCCACACTTATAAATACCCCATCAGCCCATAAACTAAGCCATCAAGTGGTTCTTTCTCTCTCCTCTCCAATGGGAATTTCTCTCTCTACCTAAGCACCTTTGATTCCAGTTCCACTTCGACAACGATACTACCATATTCATCTCAAAGTGTCCCATAAGTAAGTAGCTTCATTTTTCCTGCAAAATCATTATTTGAAAAAACTGATGTTCCTATAGTATTTCTAGAAATAATTCTGCATTTAATCATAATATCTCTGAAACTATAAATCTTATGTACCTCCATATATAACTGTAATATCTGTAGCATAAATCTTAGATACTGAAAATGTTATACATATGCAAATATTATATGGTGTTATATGCAGGGGTTATGTACAAGTGTTATGTGCAAGTAATTACTTTGAATTATTTTCTGGAAAAGCATTGTTGTCTGACATCTACTACATTCATATATAGCCTGCAATTGACATGTAAGGTCTTTTAAACTGATATGCATGATTATGACATAGTGATGCCCCTCGTGACTATATGTGCACATAGAAATGTTGAGGTTCCTTGTAACTACATATGAGACATGCTTTTGATAAGATATGTGTGCATGGCAACATGCTTCTGATAAGATACGTGTGCAAAGCAGCATGCTTCTAATAAAATAGGTGTGCATGTTAACATGCTATCAATAAAATATGAGCACATGGAGACATGCATCTGTTAATGATCTTATGAGATACTTATGCCGACAGTTGTGGTATCTCCTTACTCTCTATGATAGGATGAGAGTTAGGATTGGATTGTGTTTGGGAGGTCGCACCCCAAAAACTTATGTGAGGCACTACTCATTGGGGGGGCCCATTTTGGTAGTGTAACGCTCTCACGCCAGAAGGGCACATGAGAGGGCCGTGTCTTGCAAGGTCAGTGTCTATCAAAAGCCCCAATGCGCGCTGGGGTAGTGTGTGTGTGTGTGTGTGTGTGAGGCACTACACAATGGATTTACCCAGTGGTGGTGCTTCATCTTGTGAGATAATAGAAGTCCTAACCTTGAAATCAAGGCCTAGAACCCGAGGTTATTGTTTCTATCGCAGGACTTCTGTTATTGAGAATACTTATCTAACCATATCTGAAACTTGATTGCAGTAATATGATCTTGATATGACCATGTGCATATGGTCGATGTATTATGCTTATTTTCTTTGTTTAATAAGGAATACAGGATATGTGTAATAGCATATATTAGAATGCATGAAATCAGTATGTCAAAATTCTGCTCAATATGTGTTCTTTTGGAAAATATTTAAACTCTCTAAACATGATTTGTGGGGATAATGATGGTCACTTACTGAGTAGTCAAACTCATCAAACTATTCTGAAATGTTTTTCAAAGTAATCGCAGCCGCATGGTTCGTATGTACAGCAGAAGTAGTTGGAAGAAGGTTGTAGTCATGGATGAATTCCCTTTTGTATTTTTGTTTTATTACAGTTGTATATACACATAGATCTTCATGCAACTTATAAGTGTGAAGTAAACGCTATACAAATCGGAAAGCTAAGTGGAAATTTTGTTTTGATGTAATATTTAGTGAAATTTTCAAATTTGTTTTTTTTTTTGTTTTTGTTCGTTAAGAATGGACTATCACATCTCGGGAATTCTAGTATTATAAAACTTGGGGTGTGTTCTCTTGTTTTTCTTCCCTCTCACAGTCTTCCTCTTCTAAAACTATTTCAAAGATAGGTATTGGTTCACACACCGGGAAACTTCCCCCTCTTTCCTACTTATTTTTCTTCTCCACAACCACCCCCCCCTCTCTAATTACTTTTGTGCTCTCTTCTTTTCTGTCTTCACCTTTTTTGTAAGTAGAAGCTTATGTGGTTACTATGCATTTTTTTTGTAAAGGCACCCAACTTGTGGGATGTCGTTACTTCTTGTGAGATTTTTGTAAAACTTATATTAGAATGAATGTATAGTGTCACTCTTTCTTCAGAAAAAAAAAACCGGCAGTCAGCAATAGCTCCTCAGAACAACTACTAATGAGGAATGGCGTCTTTGGATTCTATCATTCCAATTTCCGAGAAGACTTATGAAAATTCATGACAAAGGTCCTATTTCTGATGTGTAAAGCTAAAATCAGATCTGAGCAACACAAGATTAGATTACGACTTCCATTGACTGCATTCCCAGGTCATCTTAAGTATAAAAAATTCCAGCATATTTCATGCATAAAATGTTCCTTCTTGCATCCTTTCCTACAATAACACTAGAGAATTACTCCACAAGTACCAAGCAAGAACTGAAATACGTTTAGGTCAGCACTACTTATCATCCTTTCCTTCTTCAAATGTGTAGTAGAGTTCTACCCTATCTGTTGTTTCATTTCTTCTGGAACAATCACAAGCGCTTTTTTTATTATAGATCTACTACCAGAAATTCAATGCATAATCTCAGCATTCAATGTGTATTCCTGAATAATCTCATTTTTCAATTATTCAACCAAAGTTATTTGTAACAAGTAGTTTTGTTGGTTGGTTAATCGGTCACATTTTATTCATGAAATGGGTTGGATTGGTATTATTCTGGATACGGCAAAATCATTCTATTAGATCGAATAAGAAAGCACAATAAAAACCAGCCAGAAATTTACAAAATACATAAATATTGTTTCAGAATGCCATTGTCCACAGCCACGAGGAAGGAATTTATAGCCAATCAGTGATCAAGAAAAATGCGCATGCGCACCTAAGCACTCACACACACACAAAGAGACAGAGAGAGAGAGAGAGAGAGAGAGAGAGAGACAGAGGATTACAAACCTTCCAGACCGAGTGTACTCATCGGCGT